TTAGAACCCACATTTCCGTGAAGGCTTGGCTTTTATTTTTTGATCTGTTTTGTCACTAGTTCAAAATTTATTTACACAAAATGAAGAAATGTCATGTGCTTACAGTTTCTGTTATTGATATTATAGATATCTAGTTGATGGACACTTTTATAGGATTGTTACAGCAGCAGATTGTTTTAAAAATGTTCTGAATGCCTTTTTACAGTGTTTTCATACATTTTATAGGATGGTGTCAGACACTGTTGAGGGTGGGTGGGAGCATGGGATGACATGGAGATTGAGGGGCCAAAGGGGTGGGATGGGGCATGGGTTACAGTGGAAAGTATAAGGTGCCAAAGAGGTCTGTGGGGGAGGGGAAGCAGATGTGGGAAGTGGGCGAGGGCCTAATATTCAACAGCAGACCTCAGACCAAATGCATGGAAACCAAGTGGGCCTTTTAAACCACCTCATCACTTGGCAGCCCCTGTGGTCATGCTGTGCCTGTGCCTGAGGCAGCAGCCCTGACTTCACTCAGCACCCCATTACACAGTAATGAAAATTGTACCATTTCGGGTACTATTCCCTGAAGCAGGTCTGTTGAATTTTCCAACTCAATTTACCTTGATAGTGAAAATTCCGGCATCTCCTAATCTGCTATTATATTTCAAACCACCTGCAAAGTTTGGCTTTCTTATCCATAGGTGAATAAATTTTATTCTAATTAACATTGTCACGTATCTGTCCTTTCTGAGTCTTTTGTGTATCTTTGAGGTTAAACCAATTTTTCAACAGTATTTATTCTAAAAGTATTCTTTAAGGTATGCCATAGATTTGTGCAAACTTAATCATCAATTTTATTTTGCTACATTTTTTACAAATATGAGAAAAAGAAAAAAAAATCACTTGAAATATACATTTTGTTCACAATATATGAATAAGAGAGTGTGAACTAGAGAAGATGAGTGAGAGGCTTAGTCATTTGAGGACCAAGTAGGCTGTGTAAGTGCAAGTTTACTGACAAAAGCTTTGCACCGATTTTTAGGTCACTCGACGTAAAGTCATTTCAGATTTAATCATAAACCATGAATTCAGTACGAGCAGCAAAACCTTCAACCATATTTGTTATTCCAGTGAGTTATATCGTCATTGCCAATTTGCTGCTTGCCTTTTCTCCCTTGTTGCCCTGAACTTAGCTAATGATTCCATTTTGGGATGGGGAGGAAAATATAAAGCAGGCCTCTAGCTCCACTATTATTTATATATGGGCAGAACGATAAGCAATGGCTTACTAGGTAGTTGGAAGACTATGAGGACAGTAGAAGAATGATAATGGAAGAGGAACATTGTTGATTTTATCCTATGCTCTGGACAAACTGAGGAAGCATAAAGCACCACAGTTGAAATTGCAATCTGAGAAGCTTGGACATCATGGTGATGAGAGAATGCCGCATTGAAGGAATTTCAAAAGATTATTGGGTGAGGCATAAATGTGTTGTAACTTTGCTACTGCAATCTAAAATTTATCCCAATGTCATAGCTTATTTCTGTCTTCTGGTTTCAAATGTTATTCTTTTTTTGGAATGATGCGATGATCTCTGCTTTAGCTCCTCAAATATGTTCTCTATATGTGAACAGGTGTCCCCTTAACTGTCTCATCACTTTCGGCGAAAGTTTAAATGAACGATTCCTCAATGCTGATTCCCCATTCTTATTTCTTTCCCATCAGCATTGATTAGATGGATGAAGTACCTGTATCGTTTGCTTTGGAGTTGTCAGATGGTTCCATTATGATGTATATTTATGTGTTCAATTGGTGTTTTATTTGGTGCTGGTTGTGCAGTAATTTTGTTGATAAATGCTTTGAGGACTTGTCAATATTGTTGACATTTTCATTCCTGAATATTTCAGTATAGTCATCAGCTTTCAGTGGTTTTGACAAAATTTCATTTCAGAAAAAAAACGTTAAGGAAATGTTTATTTCTTGAATAAGTTTATTTAGGAACTATGGGAAAAATAACTTTTATATTGAAAAATAATGGATTTTGTTTCCCAATCCAAAGGGAAAGAGTGGCTAGAATATCTGTAGTGACAGCAGCTGTAGCTTTAAGTTCCAGTAACTAGGCTCTTTATAAAATCTATGTATTTTTTAAAAAGCCTCATGAATGGTGTAGATGTGCAAACTGTCAAAAAAAGTGGAGATTTTGAGGTATCATTGAGAATATAGAAATAAGCAGTTTGCTTGAAAGTCTAGCAAATCATGTTGAAAGGTCTAAACGTTCAAAATTCGTTAATGCACTGATAAGTGCAAATTCCAGGATTGGAATATGTGTTCAAATGTTCAATAGCCAGTGACATGAATGTAAATCATTTTAGAATATAGTACCTTGCCATCAAAGAGGAAGAAATACATGAATCAAAAAGTATGAATTAAAATTTTGAATGCAAGTCACATCTTTAGTTATAATTGATTAGAGCTGTAAAGCCATTTAGTGGAGCTGAAAGCAGTGGCAGGACTATTGATCATTTTCACTTAATTATATAGTAAAGAATGAGTTGCTTTTGTTTCAGTAGCTCCCAATATGGCACTAATTTGAATCATTAAATATTTTGATAAAGCTAGCCTATGGATTTGTCAGTAAATGTCTGAATGATAACTTAGTTCCCTGCAGTGATGATTACTGTTTCCAAATAATTATTCTTGAGTTCAAATAAAAGCTATCAATGCACCATAAACATTGTCTAATTGATTAATGATACTTTAAAAGATGTAAACTATTACAATGGATATCAAAAACAATTCATGTATGTACATAGGCCGACATGTAACATTAAGCAAAGCATCATTAACAGAGTCCCTCAAGCATTATGTGCAGTGCAATTGTAGTGGTTTATTCCTTAAAGGTGACTGTACCCTTTCTATCTATAATGTCCTCCAACTTTATAGTCCGCTGAGACCTCTATGCACCTCTAATTCTGACCCCTTGCATCCCCTCCATTTCTTTTGCTGCCCCATACAATTAGTTACAGAGACTCTAAATGCTGGAAATCCTTCACTAAACCCTATTCCTGTTTTATATCATGTCTTCAAATTTAAATTTTTGACCAAGTTTTTGATCATCTGTCCTAATATAATTGTATGTAACCTGATGTCAAATTTTGTCAAATAATCCTTCTGTGAAACTATTCAATTAACAATGCCATATAAATGCATGTATGGCATGAGCGTATACTGTATAAGAACTGCACCATGTTTAAGTTTTGCAGTACCAGATACTCTGAACTAATGTTGTACTGGTCAGTGTTATGGACTATTGACCCCAACTTCAAAATTTTGCTTTTTATGGTTAGGCAGCATTGACTGCTTTTTTTGCTTAGTACCTGCAAAAGATGTATTTAAAACATAAAAAACAATAAATTTGTTTACATTTACCTCTCCAGTGTGACTATTATTTTACAGCTGTGGTTTAGCTCATATTTTACTGCATTGCTGAAAGTGTTGACTACAAGGCGTGTCTAAGATACTGAAGCACTTCAACATTTTGCACGTGTGGTCATTGTTTGGCCTTGACAGTATGCTCAACCATTGTGAGCATTCAAAGCAAATTCAATCTTGTTCTCCGCTACAATCAACTGGTAACAAGAGAATACTCAGATAGAATAATCACTGCTGACATGCCACCCACAATCCCTGCCCCACCACCACCATCTAGCCTGCTCCCTTCTTAGCCCAAGAAGAGCACAGCAAATAGCAGAGATAGTAGGAACTGCAGATGCTGGAGAATCTGAGATAACAAGGTGTGGAGCTGGATGAACACAGCAGGCCAAGCAGCATCAGAGGAGCAGGAAGGCTGATGTTTCGGGCCTAGACCCTTCTTCAGAAAATGGCTTTGCAGTGGAGTTAAAATTGTATCAGAGATAGTAGGAACTGCAGATGCTGGAGAATCTAGGAGGGTCTAGGCCCAAAACGTCAGCCTTCTTGCTCCTCTGATGCTGCTTGGCCTGCTGTGTTCAACCAGCTCCACCTTGTTATCACAGCAAATAGCAGTGCCTGTTTAGATTTGACTTAAAATCCAGCAAAAGAAAACCTGGTTCGTACAGCTTAATGCATACCATGTGCTGATTTTTACCCAAGCTGTGGTGCTGGTTGATTATTACAGGCATTTGTATAAATTCTGTTAGAAACAGTTGGATGTTGCCATTAGTTTTAGTAAAACTTTAGGATTTGTACAAAATTTACAAAAGCTTAATACTAAGCCAGTGTCTCCCAAATCAATTCTGCCATAGAGTAGTTTGATGCAGTAGCTGTCATTAAAGTTGAGTATGGTCATGGAACCTTCATGTAACCTATGTCACCAGATCCCTAAGGTGTGCTCGAGGTTGGAAACATTTCTTTATAGCACAAACCACATTATGTACTCTGTTTTGGGAGGAAAAAGTTGGAAAGTACTTTATTTGTAAAGCATTGTTTTCTTTCTCTAGACTTTTCTTCCTTTTAAGCATTGCAATATTTCATATGGCATCCTTTTAAATAACCTGGAGTTTGATTTTTGGACTTCGTGCTAATCAGGATGTGAGATCTCAGTGCTGGATCATGAAACCATTCTCATTTCAAATGCCAAGTCTCCACATCGAGGTTAGGTTTTACACAGTCAGACAGTGTAAATCTGCGCGTACCCAACTGCATTTCTAGCCTCAAATGAGCCCCCCTTGTAGTGGTGAAATTCAAATGTGTGTCTTCAAAATATTGGTCAGCGCTCTGGATTACTAGCCCAATGATATGCAAGACCAATGCAGCCAGTAATTGTGACTGGATATAACTTCAGACTCCTGAAGTGAAAGGTGCATGTCTAACCCATACCTGATTTCCAATTGTTTTTGCATTTGAAGTTCTGTAGTTCAGAGTTTCTTGCATTTATTGTCAAAAGACAAGGTTAGATGAAGCGCTGCAATATGCTAGTAGGAGTTGATGTTTAAAGTGTCGCTCTTTAACCAACCAGGAGTCTTTTGTTCTCTTCACATAGGAAGATTCGCAAACTTCTATTACCTTCTGAGATGAGGAGAGCTTCTAGGCGACCTTGCTGCCCAGTTGTTGTGCCATCTCTTCCTCACACTTATACTCCCTCTAATCAATGCAAGCAGTCTGACACTACAGAAGCCATTGTCGTTGCAGACTGAAAACATGAAGTGAACAGATTGAGCCAAGCTTCTCAAGAAAAGAGCGTTAATTGAAGTTGCAGATCACATGGATTCCTGCTCAGGTCTTCATAAAGTAATTTTCAGTTGTTTGGTGTCAAGTCCATTAGCAAACCAATGTCTACATGTTTATGGCAAAATTATTTTGCTGCACTCTCAGCGGGAAAATGTACCTGTTGTACCACATATTATTTTCTAATGCAATAGTGGTGATGAGGACAAATATATTACTGTCTTGAATGTTTCATTTGTACATTAGACAATTACACAATTGTATCAGAATATTTTCAAATCCTTGTTAACTTGCTTTTTAGAAGTAATTGTCAGTGCATACAAAGATCAGGGATGCCCAGTCTGTGATCTGTGGCTCAGGATGGTTGATGCCCAAACAACCTACTACTGTTCATGCTCATACTTTTTGCTGGTTTAGCCTTTGTGAATTTTGTGGGCATCGAGTATTTAAAGGGCTTTTCTTGATATTAATCCCTCACTGGTGGAAAAATCAGTTAACCAAAACAACATAATGTCAGCACCTACAGGCTCGATACAAATAATGGGAGCACAGATTTAAACTTTTAAATAATGTCTGCAAAGTCCAATAGAAAAACCCATTCATTTGTTGCAAGTTATTAGGAAAAATGAATTAAGTTTGGCAGTTGTGTGTGCAGGAGTACTTACAAAACATGATTAGTATCAGGAAGGGAAAACCCCTATTTTACAGGCTCAAATTGAGTCAACAGTACAGCAACCTTCCATGAATAAAATAGACTGATTACAACTGGTTGGAAGACAGCAATATTATGCCAGTCTCCGAACTTATGAAAGGCAGATGGGCACGGAAATCAGAAGCTGGCCTGTCTTTTTGAAGTTGCTAATTAACAAACTAATTAGCAACCATTTGCAAATTTTCATTGCCTGCTGCATCTGTTTGGGCATTGAACATGAAAATGCTTTGTAGTATTGACAGCAACAATGACGAGGCAGCTGAGGTGCAGAAGAACAGGCCTTTTTTTTAATAAAAGAATCTGAAAACAAGGGGCCTTCTATTGTTGTAATTGACTTCCCGCTAATGGCATATCCCCTCTGCCTCATGACATCCTGGCCTTGAGTCACAATTGGACACAGAGGCTCCATTTTGCACCTGTGACTGGATTAGCTGCCTTCCTGATGGACAGCTATAAATTATCCAAGCAACATTTGATTGAACAAGTTGAAATAGTGACGGTATTGCATTCCATTTCCCACAACAGCCCAAGAAATATAAAATCCTGCCCATTATTACACTAGCAAGACTTTCAGTTGAGCTCAGCCTGCCGGGTATTTGGATGATCAGTTCACAGAGGCAAGGAAGTGCACCAATTTGTGTTTCGTGGCATAAGTGGCAATGCATCTAATTAGACAAAAAGTTGGAAAACTGTCAGCTAATGACTGGTACCTGGTTGATTCATAAACATGGGAGACAACTGAACATACAGCTAGAACTGTAGTTGTGACAATGTGTATGTTAAAATGCTTATGTCAAAAATCAATAGGCAACATTCACAAATGGTGAAATGCTTATCTGTAGCTCATTACAATAATGTAGTATTTATGGATACCAAAATGTGAAGCTGCAGAAGGAGCGTCATTTTGTTCGGTGTAGAATGTTTTCACAGAATTTGATAATTTATTTTCAGGCTCTATTACATTGATTTTCCTTATTTGTAAAGTAATCCAGATTTTCCACTATTTTCTTTTATGTATCTTGCATCAAACACAGATTAGCAATGTGGCTGTACTCATTAAGGCTGTCACTGGTTACCCACATTGTATGATGTTAAACCCGTGCCTGTTGCATGGTTTATTCATTTGGTGTGAGAAAGCTAAACCACCATTTTTATTTACAGCGCAAATGAAATAAGACTTAAGAGTTATAGAGTCATACAGCATGGAAACAGACCCTTTGGCCCAACCAGTCCTTGCTGACCATAATCCCAAACTAAATTAGTCCCACCTGCCTGAAGTAAATCCTTTGGGTTTTGTTTTTGTACTTCCAATCTGAATCTAGTGAGCTTGGGAAAAGACAGATAATGTCCTTCCATCGTCTCACCAATGCATCATTATAGTTTCTGCTACCCTGTTCAATTACCTTATTTAGTTGATCCTTTTCAATTTTCAAAAATTCACTGCACAACCTCAAACAGCTGCAAAGAACCCTTTGTGGTTGTTAACATACTGAACAGGTTCACAGATAATCATCTATAGGATCTCTTTATCCACTGCACCTCTCCTCATTTAAATGAATGGAGTCTGACCAATTGAAACCTATAATGCTCTCTTTGAAATGGTCAGATTTCAGGAATTTTCATCATTATGAGAAGAAGAAGGTTTTTTTTAAACACGTGAACTATAACCATGCCACTCAGGTAGTTTGATGTAGCTTAGTTACATCCTAAAAAGCTTTCTTTAGGGTATGAAAGTGATCTAAGTATCATGCCTGTAAAAAGGAAACACAGTTTGGGAACAAATCATAGTGCCACATTTAGTTACCATCTCTCTACCTACTCAGTGAATGTGACTGTTAGGAAAACAATCCCTTTGTTTTATGGAGGTGCAGGGCTGGATGAACACAGCAGGCCAAGCAGCATCATAGGAG